TACATTAGGATGAATGACATCTTCAGGGATCTCAAGATGGATACAAAGAAAAAATACATAAAAGATAGAGGCCTGAAATTATTTAAGAAAACTGACAGGCTTACCAACACCGCTTGATCGAATCTCAGAATGGTTACAGGCTCTTCAAGGAGGTATGCAAATCTGTCGTCAATTATTGCTTATTGATCTGATGAAGTGATAAACAATAATCTAGTCAAGACGTAGAGTGAGGTTATGAAGGAACCTCGCAGTTAATAGAGAGTAAAAGTGCTCAAGTGCACTCTAACTTAACTAGCCTCAACATAGCAATAATAATAACTAAATAAATTTAATATGACATTGAGAGTATGTAATGCTTTATGATGTGTCAGTTATTAATATATTCTCATTTTAAAATATATTTGTTTTTGTTATTTTCAAGGAATTCTTTTTCACCTTTAACAGTAAATCATCTTTCAATCTGAATATTTCCAGTTATATGGCAAGCTGTGAGTAAGTGCCTAAGTTATGCCACCCACTGAGGTGTGTTAGGCAAATAAATTATTTGAATGAATTTTATACACTTGATTAGAGGACGTAAGACTTAATTACAATCTAACTGCAAATCTTACGTAAAACATTCAACAGCAACAACACCAATAGAGCCAATAAGTACTTGGCTCTAAAAGAACCAAGAAAGATCTCTGTTGAAGTCGTTGTGAATGTGAGCAGATATGCAAATGTTGGCAATTGCTGAAGGCAAATCTCATGCTTCCTCTATTCGCGTGACTTTGATTAAAACATGTTTTATTACGGTAATTCAAAGGTGTTGTGGTTCCGAAGAGTTAAGCAAACAAATTAAATTGCAGTTGAATTTTAAATGGAAATAAATTGAAATATCAAACTCAAATGCAAGCTCTGAAATACACACTCGTTTACCAGACTAACTCGCCAGCACGAACGTCGCGGTTAATTTTATGCAGGAATTTCTTATTTGGTTTATTTATTTTTAATGGGCCTGAGCTTGGAAATCTTTGGGCTTTTCGCATAGATGTGAGGTTGTTTCCGCGGCGGGATGCTTAGAGACCCTCATGTTTAAATGTCAAATAAGTCGATTGCACTTTAAAAACAACTAAACAGCTTTTGATTTTTCACTTTATTTCTGTTTCGTTACAATGTAAACACTTTTTACTCCGACTATTAAAGCTTAAGTATCTTTCCAGTTTGATTTTATTCGTTGCTTCAAGAAGTTTTCTTTGCTAATGAACGCTAAAAGTTGCCAGTTGTGTGTTAATTTGAATGTCATTCGCCTTCACGCTTCATTTTTGAAATATTTTTGAGTTTGAAGGTTTTATGTCAAACCCGTAAAAAAGTTTCAAAAATAATAAGATACAACACTTAAAGTCGATTGTTGCTTGAATGGGTTGTAATTTGTGCATGATTCTTTTATTAAAAGTACAAGCCACTAAATGAATCTGTTTTGTCTACTTCAATCTGTAATTGAAAGTATCTTAATTTTGTGTTAGTCTAACACAAAAGTCTGTGCCACTTTAAAAATGTTTAATTTTTACTTCAAACCGACACAGATACGTCATTGTTCGATACTTTAATAACCAACGGTTAAGTGACGAGTACTTCTGAACTCTCACAGATACTTTGCGTTGTTGTTCTTGTTATTGATGCTGTGATGCTGTTGCATCACAGCAATTTTTAGATTTGTTTAAAAATTAAGAAAAACGTGTTAAGTCTATGAAAAATAACTGCTGCATTGGCCTTGAATAATTAAGCGAATAATAGAAGTTATTTATAATTTTTTGAATATAATTTCACAAATATTCAACTGATTTAAAGTTGCTACAAGTGGTCTAATAGATTATGACTACAGATAAAGATACGAGTATATGCAAAAATATACTCGAGTGTGCAGCTTCAAAAATCAAAAATATTTTAATTTAAAATAAAAATTCATTAAAGTTCGTTTAAATTAAAAGATAACAGCTAAACAAACAAATATTTTGCAATAATTCACACACATTTGATTAATAAATCAAAAATTTATAATTTTTATATTAAATTCAATTTCATTTCAAGTTTTAGGAATAAAACTCGTTACTATGAGATGCGGATTTTATTAACGCTAATTAAAAGATAAAAGCAAAATATTTTCATTAAATGCTTATAATGATATAATGATGATAATTAAATGTAAGAACTTATATATATAGCTGCGAAATATTTTACGTTACTTAAAAATTAATAAAAAAAAACAATATATTACATATAGGTATATCATATAGCCAACACTTCATATTTCACTATAAAAGTTTTTATGAAGTTGAATTAGTTGTGTTTTTATATATATTATATAGATAGTAGATAAATTTTTGAATAAATTTCCAATAAAAGATATTTACAGTAATGATTTCAAAGTTAACAAGATAATTTGGCTTTAATTTTGTTAACCTGTATTAAGTTTAAGAGCTTCTTATTTGTGATTAAAATTTTGTATTTAAGAGAAGATAAGAGTACATTTTATAATTATAATAATGTACGCCTCAAATTCTTCCTAAAGATGTCAGCCAACTCAACTTTAAACTCAATTTTAATCAATTTAGTATGCTCTTCTTTTCTTCTTTATATTCTATTGTCAATTTATTGATTCATTACAGTTGAATATCCACCACGCAATCTCTTTAATATATTAAACCTAACATATATATATATATAGTTCCAGATTAATTTAGGTTTTAGAAACTTAAGATCAAACCGGTGAAAGATTCTTTTGTTACTTATACAATTGCCTTTCAAAGAAGTGTTTTATTCTTAGAGGCGTCCAGTAATCTCCGTCAAACAGTTTGATAAACCAATAGTCAGCTATCGACAGTTAGTGGTACCGAGTCAGCTATCGACAGTTAGTGGTACCGAGTGCCTTCAAATCATTAGTAAATTTGTCATTTTACCGCAGAATCGAACGTCATCTTTTGCATTTTCTATCAGTTAATACCAAATCGAACAATCTTCCACCCGAAACGTTTTCATCTATTCAAACGACGTTATCCAACCAGCGAACCACAGGCATTTTAATACGGTTAACTGAAATAATGATGTAGTATAGTACCTTCAACTAAACTTTCCATCTAATTCGAATCGCGTTACCAATAGTAATGAGATCATGAGTTTTCTAAAAAATTTTCCACTCAAATGCTCTTAATGCCTTTTCATTCTTGTTTACACTTGTCTTAAGTTTTGTACTGAAAAACAGAACTGTTAAGAAAAGAGACTTGTAGAGGGAGATTATTGCTTGTCGAGAGAGAAATTTAGGTATATATTAATGTCATGCTTATATAGTCTCAAGTGGCATCTATTAGCAGGAGTGATTCTTTGTTGAATAACTAGTTAGTTCCCAGATATACAAAGTTTTCACAATTTAGAATTTATAGTTCTTATCAGTGACGTGGGTCTCAAGATGTTTAATAGATTTCTTTGTTGACAGTGATTGCTGATAAAAAGGGTTAAAGAATAATAATAATATTCTAAAATTATAAGCATTGATAAATTTATGATTATTAAACCACTAAAAGCATTCCGATATCTGACGGATAGCCATTTCGGATTCATAAATTCAGTGATGAGACCGTTCAGGGCTATAATACCAAACATGTGTTTTAAGTCTATTGACTACAATTTGTGACCTGCATGTGTTTATTTGTCATTTCTTTTGATGCTGCTGTAATAATGCAACTGCTGCTTCTTGAAAATGCCATACCTGGGTTATCGATCGTGATAGCGCTTTGCGCTCCACTTCCAAATGTCATTTGAGACTGTCTCAGCAAATTTGATGTGTTATACTGCTAGGAAATGTAGAGTGTTCCAAGAACTCTTCAAGGAGTTCTCACTCTTCTTTGAACTAGGCATAATGAGAGATCACTGCGTTGTAGCATCGTTGTAACAGTTTCAGTAATAAAGACTATTTGCCAGGGAAAAACGGCGAAGATATTATTTTAAGTATTTAAGGCCGCTGAATATCTGAGTTCAATGGTAGCTCAAATCATTATCAAATTGTCAACTAGGATGTCGTCTTGTTGTCATCTAGTTCAATTTATCAAGCTAGCTAGAGAGTCTAGCATATTGAATATCATTTGGTTCAATTTGGTTAGGTTTGTCAATAGCCTTAATTTGCGTCTTAGGAAATCACAATAGATCCCATAAGTAATTAGCCTTTTTAATAATAATAAAAATATCTCCTATGTTTTTCTCCTGCACTGAAAATCAAATTGCTTATATTTAATATAATCTATCTATCCACACATATTGTTATTGAAATGATGTAAGTTTAAATTACATATTTACATAAAAAATAAAAAATAGATGTATTCAATAAAAATATGTGCCAGTAATTATTATTCGAAAAGTGCATTAGTTTCATATGGAAAATCCCTTGTCAAATGCTTACGGTGTCACATTTCACAGTTACTTCATCGCGAGGTACGACTTTAATTGCTGTTGCAAGATTGTAGATACTAATTTTGTGCAAAAAGACAAAAAACTATGGTATATAAGACTATATAACACTTAAGTGCTTGAAACAATCGTCAAGCATCAAATGTTTGTGAATTTTCTCAGGCTGTGGCTGTTAACAGCGTATGGGCGGCTGCTGCAAATGTAGTAGAACGTTGAAATGAAAACAGTTTTTTGTTAGTAACTTTCTTGTTATGAATTCAAAGTAAAAGAAGTTCTCCTTATATTCAATTTAAGTAACACCAACACCATCTACTTTAGTGGAGTGTAGTCGTTGTTTAAATTTTCGCATGCTTGGCTGAGGCCAACTGATCTTGAATCTACAGCACACGAGAAAGACACAGTTTTCAGTTATGAAGCATGTATAGTACATTCATTGTAGAAAAGTGTTTGAGTATCTCAAGTGTATTGTCATTTACTTACGTAATAAGTAATTTAATTATTTACTGAATACTATAAGAAAATATAATAATTTAATATTTTTTTCTGCTTGTGTCATAATTTTACGTTTGGCTTTTAATACGAAAATGCAATTGCCGCTCTGCAATCATCGCTTTAAAGCGTTCAAGCGTAACTATGCATGATTATTTAATAGATTTTTTATAATCTCTTATTATTGTTGTTGCAGTTATTGTAGTTGTTGTAGTTTCTGTTATTAATAACACTTAATTAATTGTTGATAATAATAAATTTGTTAATAAACACATTTATTTGGCATAGTGAATTGCAAACAGTAATTAATCAATTAATTTTTGATTATGTATCAAAATCAAGTTTGTTGCTTAAGTCTTTTGTTAGTCGCTCGCTATTATATTGCCGCAGAACCGCTCGAATTTATTTATTCATGCATATAAAGCATATTAAAGTTATTTAAATAGATTTCTTTCAAAATAATTATGAGGAAATATTTGAAAAAGACCAATTGAAAAAAATTATTCATTTTTCATTAGCAAAGAATTTGAAAGGGTTTTGAAATTTTGTGTATTTATAAAATTAACTAAGACAACACGCAAAATAAATTTGTTTTGTATTGAATTTGATTTTTAAAGTCAATTATGACGAAAGAAATCATTTCCTTAATGTGACATATTTTTTAATAGAAATTTTGTTTGAATAATAGTGAATCACAACAACAAAATTCTAAATAAATACATTTTTACATTTTTTCTATTGAGTATTGTAATTTACCATAATTTGACATACTCTACCCTGAATGATGTTAATAAATGTAATTCAGTTTTCTAACAACCTCAGTTGTATGTAATAGATAAAATCTAATAGATAATCTAAAGCTAGTGTATAGATATTAGATATTATCAGATATTATAGAAGCACATCTTTTTTGTAAGACACATCTGTATGAATGATAATAAGAATATATTTTGGGTTGGGTTAT